AGGTCAAAAATAACTTATTTAATGGTGTGTTTAGAGATCAAGCAAATTCCAAATGTGTATAAAATTGGTGGTAATCTTATTTTCATTTTGTTTCAAACCTGCAAACATACTTCTTTAAGAATTATTTTTCAGGGACACCCAAATATCTCATAAGTTCCCCAACAAACCAAACAACAACCTTTCAGGACCCTTTTTGAAAACAGTAATGAGCGAGGCTTTCCATAGACACTCAAAGATATGGTATGACTTATCTAAGACTTACAAGATTGATGTGAATAACCTCTGGTGTGGGCACATCAATCATTGGCTGTTCAATAATTATTTAATCAAAACCTACTTCCAAGCATCACAACATGAGTATATTTCACAAAGTTTAGTCTATTGTTCAACCAAAGTAACAGGCAACAATACAAAACCATAAATGCTTGGTTATAAATGAACTGTCTTCATGGATGGCAAATCAGGAGGCTAATTTTCAAACAAATTTGAAAATTATGCGTTTGATACAAGCTCTATAGTATGGCTCTGAAATATATATAGAAATGATGATAAAAGTAAAGGGGATTGTCTTGATCAGAAAACATGGTGGGAGAAAGTGGTTAACTATTAAACAATTTCATTTTGGGTTTATAGAAATCTATGTATAATTCTTTAATCTTTAGTCCATTCCAATTATAAATACAGCCACATTCCTAATATTATGACTTATGACGTGACATATTCGCGGGAATCAATGTCACCAGGTGGCGCTTGGTTTTCATCGTTCCATGTCAAAGCCACGTCAAAACTGGGGAAAAACAAACTCAATCCTCACTCAATCCCATTAGTGTTATTAGCTTGTGTACTGTGTACTGATAAGAGTGATATTACTTCATGTCATTGACAAGTTTGACAACTACAGCTACAGCAAGATGTATGCAATGTAGTCTATGTGCTTTATCCATAGACAATAGCTTGTTTTCCCCCAGTTTGAAGTTCGTATTATGTAACCTAGATGTCGCCCACTTCGTGAATCTCGCGAATAAGTCGAATTTGATATGATTTGATTATATTTGGCATGGATAAACCTATCTGACATAAATGACGTCATGAATGACCACTTCCTCTCACGGCATTATCTGATCAACTCCCTATGTGAATAATCTCATAAATTCTGCCAATCCTGATATTTACCAATCTACCTTTGACATCGCCATACAATTATTGTTCCATATCAGTACCAGTCTGAAACAGCAATTAAACAATGAGCCCACCAGAGCTTACTCACATCATTCACCACAAGTGTAAATGAGGGCTAACCTAAAAGCTAAGAGAACAGTCTGCAGCACCCGTCACTCGGTCAGGTATATAAAACTCGCACAGCCGTTTCGGCACTATCAAATGAAAATCATCTAGTATTTTGAAACTATTCATTTGCTATGTTCTAACACCAACCCGATTTTTTAAACTCAAGCAGTTAGCGAAAGAATGGTGTTGTGTCAGCTCAATCTCAAGCTAGCACAACCGTTTCACAACTTTCTACCCAAAGAAGTTATTGAGATGATTCAAACGATCAGATTTTCAGTTTTTCAATAACTTTCAAAAATTTGAGAAGATAATTTGAATTTGAGCAAATTCGAATGTTTCACAAGACGGCGGTTCGTATCCCCGGCAGAGCAGAAAATTTGTATTTATAAAACAAGTTTTATAAATTCAAATTCGTGTACTCGGCCGGAGATGAATCCGCACGATTCGCTGATGCCTTCCAATTAACAGTGCTGCTCCTAAGGTGGCGTATGGAGTTAGTAACAAATCCTACACATATATTACACTTGCGCTGAAGGACCTCTCGTAAGTTGGTATGTACAGTGTGTCCAGTTTTCGATGCTTCTGTGTGATATCTCAGTTTTCTTTCGAGATAGAACCTTGCGGGTTTCGCGATCGTGTGCCACTTTTTCGTGAAACTCCAGATGGCCTAATCAGATTTTGCATAACTGTTTCCGTTTATGAGATACAGGGCGATTTTGAAAATTTATACTTTCTGGACCTCCTCTTTATCTACGAAGTTTCTCAGCAAAAATGTCAAATTTAAATCTCATCCCATATGAAAGTTTACGCAGAATCCAGTGGCGCACTCAAAATTTTTTTTCGGGGTATGGTTTTGGAGATACTACTCAAACTTATGGTTTTTTGAATGGAACACCCTGTATTTTATGAGCTCATAAAATTCCTCATTTTTTTCTCTCCAAAATGATTCATAATGTAAGTATATGAAATTTTCAAAAATGCTCTGAAATCACTGAAATAATGAATTTTAATTGTGGGTTATGGATTTTTCTTATAAAAAAGTTGCAATTGAAGAAATATTCATTTTGATTTTTCCATAAAGAGGACAAAAACGATACCAACACTAATTAACTAAGAAAACACAAAAATTATGTACCTGATAGCAACAAATAAATAGTAATAAAAATTTCATAATGTAGAATAAGCACCAGATTGAATATTTACAAATACAATTGAATTTCGGAATTATTCAATAACTTATTCACTGAATTGTTCAAATTGATGTCCATTTTCCATAACACACAATTGACACATTTTCTCAATACGTCTTGATACAGTAAGAGTCACAAATATCTTGAAGAACTTCGTGCAACAACAAAGGCAGTTTTCCAGGAATTACAAAGACATCCTTTAATGATTTTGAATGCATCAAGACGTATTGAGAAAGCATGTGAGGAAAAGTGGAAATCAATTTGAACAATTCAATGAATATGTTACTGATTAATTTCGAAATTCAATTGTTTAGTGAATATTGAATCAGGTGCTTATTCTAAAATATGAACTTTCTATTACCATTCATTTGTTGCTATCAGGTACCTAATTTTTGTGTTATCTCAAATAACTAGTGTTGGGATTGTTTTTTCCTTTTCATGGAAGAATCAATTGAGATATTCTTCAATTGGAACTTTTTTTAAATGAAAAATCCATAGCCCACTATTAAAATTCAATGTTTTAGTGATTTTGGAGCATTTTTGAAAATTTAATACATATTCATCATATTTCATTTTGATGGGGAAAAAATAAGGAATTTAATGAGCTTTTAAAATACAGGGTGTTCCATTTGAAAAATCATAAGTTTGAGTCGTATCTCCGAAACCATACCCAGAAAAAAAAGTTTGAGTGCACCACTGAATTCTGCGCAAAATTCTGTATAGGATAAGATTCCAATTTGACATTTCCGCTGAGAAACTTCGTAGATATATAGGGGGCCCAAAAAGTATAAATTTTCAAAATCGCCCTGTATCTCATAAACGCAAACAGTTATGCGAAATCTGATTAGGCCATCTTGAGTTTCACAGAAAAGTGGTACAGGACCGCGAAAACCGCAAGGTTCTATCTCGAAAGATAACTGAGATATCACACAAAAGCATCGAAAACTGGACACACTGTACATACATACCCATGAAGTACACAATATACTACTACTACAATATGCATTCAACGCCTAAAATGCATGTAATTTTGTTCTTGTAATTCTAATTGTTATCCTTATCCAAATTTTATTGATAGGAATTCAGATTATATAAGTAATTCTCAAAGATAATACAGTTGTGATCCGGAGAACTGATTTTAAGGACAGATGATGGCCAAAATGAGTTGAAAAATCAGGTTGGTGTAAAAAATTGTTAACAAAGAGTTAATAAATACTAGCTTATTTTCATTCCATAGTACCAAAACGACTGTGTCAGTTTCATACAGTGTCTCAAGATAAGGATGTCTGTCATTGGGTTGAAGATGGTTGAATTGGAAGAAAGTTGCGCATTTTCAAGCCAAACAATATGCCTTTCAGAAAGTTTCAAATTTCCTATTAGTTCTGTAGATATGCCTAAAAACCCGGAAAAAGGCTGATTTCATTGTAATATTTTTCTGGCGTTATTAAAAGAGATATAAAAAAAATACTTTCTCATTGCCACTTTCTGAGCTCTACAAAACAGGGTTGAGTGATTTTTTTACGACGTTTTGTTTCCGAGACACCATTATCCATTTCATTTTTTTAAATGGCCCGTAAAAAAAGTATATCCCGTACGAAATCTCTCAACTCTGTTTTGTAGAGCTCAAAAAGAGTCAATGAGAAAGAGTCTTATGTTTTCCTATATCTCTAAATAAATACGAAATCGGAAAATTTCGGTTATCTTCAGAGTCACTTGGAATTTCAGAAGTTTCTAAACTTCATACCGGTTGACACACTGTAGTTTTTTTACCGGAAGAGATAAAAATTTGAAATTTACAACAGTTATATTATCGATGATGGCGCTTCCCTTGAACCCAATGATAATTTTCTTCGACCACCTGTTTGATTGGGAGTAGACCCAACTTTTTTTTCAAATGGCACCCTGTATATTTCTGTAGCCTATCTAATTCGCCTTAAAATTCTCTATTCAACAATGTATCACAATTTGATATTCGTTCATTAATTGGCTGTTAAATTGCATTTCATTGAGATACATGAAGTTGGCTGTGGCCCGAATACAATGACATTTTGATGCTTGATAGGCTTAGAAATCCAAAGATCATTACTAAGACGATATTATCAGAATATTTTCCATACCCTAATGGGTCCCAGAAGATTGAGAAAACGGAGATAGAAACTTCGTATTTTTCATTTGGCTACTTGTGAGGAAACTATTTGTCTTCCATTTTTGCCATGTAGCCATAATAGGTTTGTTCTCGTTCGAAAAATGAACAGTCCGAAACCATCGGAAGCATGCGCAGTTCCACAGTTCCATGGAACATGAAAAATACCAACAGTTCTGTGAAACTGCACATGCTCCTGATAGTTTCTGACTATTTATTTTTCAAACGAGAACAAACCTGATATGATCATCCAACAAGCATCGAAATGTCATTGTAGTCCCGCCACATTCAACTTCCTGTATTTCAATAAAATGCAATTTAACAGCCAAAAAAAGAACGAATATCAAATTGTGATACATAGTTGAATAGAGAATTTCAAGGCGAATAAGATAGGCTACAGAAATTTACAGGGTGCCATTTGAAAAAAAAAAAAAGTTGGGTCTACTTCCAATCAAACAGGTTGAAGAAAATCATCAATAGGTTCAAGGAAAGCGCCATCATTGATAATAAAACCCTTGTGAAATTCAATCTTTCAACTCTTCAAATAAAAAAACTACAGACTGTTACATGTCTGCTGTGCCACCCGGTATACTAGAAAATGCGCAACTTTTCTCTAATTCAACCATCTTCATATCTCTTACGGTTTTCGAGACCCCCATGATACACATCCTTATTTTGGACATGGCGCATACCTCACTCGGTCATCGTGGCCCCGCTCTGTCCGCAAGGCAACAGCACCAAGTGCTGGTCCGTCTCGCTGCACTGCAGTCACTTCGCTCGCACGCTCTTCTTCTTCTTGCGCTTGAAGAAGCCGCAGCACTTGGTCTCGTCCACCACCTCTACCTCGTGGTGGTGTGCTATGAGGGTATTGCTGTGCCCCGCCGTGGGGTCGTCAGCATTAAGTTCCCCATTGGTCGAGCTCACCACCTGGACAGACCCGTGTCGGTCCGCTGGAGTCAGGTTGCCCAGGGTGGTCTGCTTGGAGGCTTCAGGCCAGATGTGGGTCTTGTTCGTTTTGCTGAGGCCCCTGTACGGGGATTCGGCTACTTCGTGGGGATTGGCTGGGAGAGAGCCTACCGGGGTAGTCATAGTCTTGCCCGACCAATCAAACTCGCCGTCATCAACGTAGCCTTTTTTGTTGAATAAGCTGATGAAGAGGTTGCGCAGGTATTCGTAGTCGGGCGATTCGAAGAAATCCAGTCTCCTTACATATCTCAAGTATGTAGCCATTTCTTCGGGGTGTCCTTCACAAAGGACGTCGATGGGGGTAGCTCTTTTGGTGTCGCCTATCTTTTGGTACCTTTCTTTGAGGGTGTCTGCTTTGAGGCCTTGCCAGGGCAAGGAGCCACGTAGGAAGTACATGAACATGTGGCCTAGGGCTTCTAGGTCATCCCTTCGGGACTGCTCTTTGCCTAGGTGCGTGTTTATGGACATGTACCTGGCGGTACCTGTCAGGGATTTGTGTTCTCTGTAAGGTATGTGCTTGTTTGTTTCAAGCTCTATATACTCTTTGGCCAAGCCGAAGTCGATGATGTGGATGATTTTTTCTCGCTTTGTGCTACTACGCCCTATGAGGAAATTCTCCGGTTTTACATCTCTGTAAATTAGGTGCCTAGAGTGAACGTATTCAATACGGTAGAGGAGTTGTATTGCAATCATGAGGACAGTCTTTAAGGTGAATTTTCGGTCACACATGTCAAACAGGTCTTCCAAACTGGGGCCTAACAGTTCCATGACCAATGCATTGTATTTGCCGCACGGTCCGAAATAGTAAATGTCCGGTATGCCTTCGTGGCTGCCGAGGAGTTTATAGAATCGGTATTCTAAGTGCAGTTGTGGTGCTTTGGATTTCATAGCTTCCATTTTGATAGCTACATGTTCATTATTGTATAGGTTTTTGCCTAGGCGTAATTCGCCGAAGTTGCCGCAGCCTATTTTTTTGCCTACGCGGAAATTGGGGCCCACCATTAGGACCCCAGAGCTGGAATTGACGTTATGTCTGGCGCCGTGGGTGTCGGCGGTACCATGGCGCTTTGAATTTTTCGTTTTCTGATCCACTTTATCCATTTTGTGATTTTTAAAGTAGTGAGAACTGGGGTTTAGATGGGTTAGTAGGTTTTGAGAGTGCCCAACATCACATTTTATCTTATCACAGCATCAGGAGCAATTTTGAATGGAAAATAGTTTTGGTTGAAATGCAGTCTGATAGTTTATCTGTAAAGAAAAATCGAGATCACCTTGATATTGGGATGAATTTGCAAACAAACAAGAATTAAGATTATTTTGAATATTTTAAAATGACGATAAACAATTTCTCAGATAAGAAACAATTACAGAGATAATTTGATAGGGCAGAGATAAGCATAAATTATACAATATACATCAATATCAATTATTGGTAGCATGTGATATAGAAAACTTTGACATGTGAAGATACTTGGAAGGTATCTACATGAACATATCATTATTTTGTGTTTCAAACTATACCTACTACTTCTGAGTGGCTGCAAATTACTAACAGGGAACAGACCTTTCTACGAGAATATTAGATTTTTTCGTATTTTCTACAACAGGAGTTTTAGCTCTACAGTCCCATACCTTACCAACATTCTTCACATATCTATCTCAAGCAAATTATCCAAATCAGAGCTCTTTTTTTCAGTGGTTTTCTTACTGAAACCAAGATAGAGCTCTGATCACGAATTAAATTGATACTAGAATTAGGAAGCGACTGACGAGAATAGTGAGCGATTGTACATACCAAATTATTGCACTGCTATAGTTCTCAGAAAATCATGATTCCTGAGATATCAGTCGTCCTCCATGGACTATTTGTGCACCAAAAAATAATCACTGATCAAAAGTTGATCTGCACATATTACACATCGGGCTACCTCACACTCGATACGACAAACATTATTAAAAAATAGTAAAAATACACGTTTAAAATATTTTCATTCTGTATGCTTTGTTTTGTAATACTAAAAATCTGTGACACCACCTTATCTGTATAACCTACAAATATTTTGACACACACAAATTTGACGGGGTCTCGGGGTCAGCTGACAGGAATCGACTTGTCAGTTCTTGTCACTGACATGTCGTTAAGAGAACAGTGTTGCCACACATGAATATTTGTCAAGGAAAACCATACTAACCACTAGTGTTGCCAACTTAGTTGATTCCACACTAGAACTGGTTACAGATTAACAAACCCTTGCTAATCTGTGAACTGGTGGTTTGAGTTCTCGTTTTGTGACAAAATATGGCATCTAAGGAAGTGTCATCCATCATCTAATGACCTTGGCAACCGCCAATATCGAGAATCACATGAAGTATCTGTTTTACCAACCTTTCATTAGTTCCATTTACAAACCAGCAACTGTGTTCCATAGAAGCACAGTATTATAGCAGTGTCGAAGTCCAATAAAAGCGGAATAAAGAAGGAAGAAGAAAAAATAACCTGATCAAAACATTTATTTATTGATGATGAATGATTTATGACTTTGTCAACTTTGTACCACTTAGTTTTACTTCACAGACCGGACGAATTTGTTCAAAAATTCACGGCCAAATTGGCGAAATAATTGGAATTGTTCATTACACAAATTAAATATAACTATTACTATTGTAGGTCTTTTGTCTACTGACACAAATCCACCCAACATTTCATGGCCTTTTCTTTGGCAATGATCCAAAAGCAGATATCACAGTACTTTTAGTACCAGTGGAACTAGTAGTTAGAGAAGGTTGTACCCAACCTGCTGGTTTCATATTTGAATTGGACATGCCTCCACCACCTGGTTGGTCCCATTTGCTTTTTCTCTTCTTGTCTTCTTCACTTTTTTTTGTTCCAGAAACAAATTCCACTTTTGCTTTACGTTCTTTTTCCCGCTTATCCATTTCTGTCTTCTGGACCTTGGCAAGTTCTTCATAGTAGGATTCTTTGCTCCATTTCAGGGGGTCATACATTGCAGGTGGATAGTTGGTACCTAAAAATAAACAATGCATATCAAATGTGAATAAGTTGTTAACCAAACTGAAAGACAAACCAAGTTCATTCAAATCACAGAACTGTATAAGCTTCTCATAGATACTGGGATTCCTGAAATCCTTTCTCTTCTGTATAACAGCATTCATGTCAAGTTGTTGATTCACCATTTTCTCATACAACTTCGTGATCTTATCCTGAAGCTCAATGGAGCAATGCCCTGGTGGCTCAACGGGAATGGCTATGCCATCATCAGCAGCTACTTCCATATCCTCAGTCTTATAACTATCAACCATCATGATCATTTCTTGGGGCACTGCCTCAGAATCATTTTCTTCATCAGAGGCAATTGTGTCATCATGATAGGAAACCAATTTCTTCAGCCTAGTGACGACTTTGACGATTGGACTTGATGGGTGAGAGGACGGTGTGGACTTGTTGTCCGAGGCTGAGTTGCTGGGGGACTTGGTTTGAACATCTTCACTGGTATTATCGTTCTGATCATCGTTTCCATCTTCTTCGCCTTCAGAGTCTGTGTATGTGGCTGTCAACGATGCTAGGGCCGAACTCATCATGCAAGACCTGCAAGAGTAGTTTTAGATTGCAGATTTTCCTGATTTTCAAATAACAAAATTAACAAAACAACAACACAAACGTCACAATTCACAAACCCACTACCCAGCATTGAGCAAAGTCAGCTTGTCAGCACCCAGCTGTCAACAATGTATCTGTCTAATCTGTCACTTTTCTCCTTATTCTTATTACTCTTTTTTCTTCTTCTTTCTCCTCTTCTTCTTCCCAGTTTCTTGGCCAAATGTGAGAAGTCTGTTAACAATGGGGGTCTTGAACCTGTTTCATAAAATGAGAAGAAGAAAGGTGAATGAACTATGATTCGAAAATGAAGAAGAAGGAGATTAGTTGATCCAAACTCCAGACAATGACGGCTAAATATCTAGTCATACCCGTCAGACAGACTAGATATTTAGCCGTCAATTCAAGTAAATAAAATTATAATTGTTGAAATAATCGGAATGAATGCGAATGCCTATTATTTGCACAAATGTCGAGTGAAAAAAAGGTAGAATTGGTGATATTTAGAATATAGATGTGTTCATATTTTCCACCATTGGCCCTTAAATTGGTTGTAGGAATCTTATACAACTGATGAATTATAATTTGAATATTTATCTAAAAATTATTGCCCGCTGATTCGACCTCCTGACGGCCACTAGTATCGATGTCAGTTGCTAGTATGAATGCATCATGGTTCCCTTGTTCCCTATGCAACGTTTTAGGTTTTAGTTTCTTCTACTAATCGTAATCACTGTCAGGTTTCAGCATTCACTTATACCTAAACTCGTGAAAATTTATCGGATTTGGCAACCCTGAACAATACCCACGATTTTCTCACACACCCTCTCCAGAGAACGCATAGAAAAAGTTGGAAAAAGCCTTAGTCAGCGCCCCCTTACCAAACACATTCCACCATGGTTTTCGAGTTTTCACAATAACTTCCTGCCATCCCCGTTAGGCGTCTTGCCTTTTGAGACTTGTCAAGATTTCCACCACATTTCCACATGCGTCCTGCGAACCCTGCAGTGTTGCCATTACTAAAAAAATATCCGAAGACATCAGATATCACTACCTATACAACTATGGCGATATCCCTACATAACTAATGACTTTTTACAAGGAAAGAATGAAGAGATGAGATATATATTATTATTTTATCATTTTATTGTCGATGCTGAATACTGTATGGTATAACTCATATAACTGTACAGTTTCTATGGTGCCAACCAGGCGCCATATCGATTGTAACCTAAGTTGGATCGCCTCATCCTCATGTTCATTATCAGTTGTCATAGTTAATTGTTTTACTAGGCAGCAAAGTAGTAAATAGCTGAGCATATAGTGAGGCTAGGAATTCAGCCAATGCAGTCAATCTACATTTGCTGCCGAATGAAACGTATATATTCCATTCTCCAAAGGTACTTGAACTAATTTTCTGTAGTTTCAATCGAAAAGTCCATCATTTTGTGTTCACCCAATGTCAGTGTCAATTTTGATCACCAATTTCATTCAAATTACTTGGAACGTTGCGTAGCAACAAACTTTTCCTGCCTAGGCAGAGAACGTACACCTTTCCTGTCTGTTGAGTGTCAGAGAAAAGCCACTTTCCATGCCGCTTGGAGAAAATCCTTATTACTAAAATTTCTGTACTTTCTGGAAATTATAAAGACGTCTGGCAACCGCGCTGTGTCCTCCGTACCCATTTCAAGGCACGCCGCTGTCCATGCGTAGTGGTGTGGGTGCTAGACGCGGCGCATCTTCCGCGCAGGCGCTCCACCGTCGCCGTCGCGCAGCATCGAGCGAACGTGCGTGTACTGCGTTTGTGGCGGACGCCGACTAGATCTGTCAAACGCGAACGAAACCAGCCTACTAGAAAGCAGAGAGACACCGATTTCAATCGCCGTTCGTGTGTGTGTCGCTCATCCAGCAGTCCAGTCGGCCATGAGTTCGATGAGTTCGCGCGTCTTTTGTTAGTATACTCGGCGAGAGTTGCGGGTGTGAGCACACAGAGGGTGTGAGGTGTGGGGTGTTTTGCGCGGGGGTAGCAATAACAGCCGTCGCGACGTTTTGTGCGGAGGGCAAGTGCAGGATGGGGTGCACTTCTTCGGCGGAGGAGCGGGCAGCCCTCGCCAGAAGTAAGCAGATCGAGAAGAATTTGAAGGAGGACGGGATCCAGGCGGCCAAGGACATCAAGCTGCTGCTGTTGGGTGAGTTCGGGCGGGATCGGGTGGGATCGGCAGGGTTCGGGCAGGGCGGGGGTTCGATATCTAGTTGAGAGAGCCCGCCTGGGTGCGGACGGCGGGCTGGGGGCATGCGCCGCCCTTTTTTGCCATGGTTGGTTCGAGAATTCGGACAAATAAACAGAAATTAGTGCAAGATGTATGGAATGAAGAATCCTTCAACTTTGTTTTACCTAATCCAGGAAAATATATACCTGCGATAAACTTACGTCCTGGATTTGCTGGCCAATCTGGTCTGTTCTGGTTCTGTTGAAAGAATAATAAATTCATTGATGTCACATTTTTGTTTGTCAATAACTAGGTGTACCTCATTGAAAAATGAGTAGGTGGGCACACACTGACAATAAGGAATAAAATGATGTCTTATTGTTTTTGGGATCACTCGTTATAGTCATGGTTAGGCGCTCGAAGAACAATTTTCCGAGGGGAGCAAAAAAAAATGAGAAAATAATATTCCACATTGTGACAACATGTTGACTTTTTATATTTGAAATAATAAACCTACCCTCGAATATACACCTACCTACCTACCTAAAATTCATCACATTGAGGTTCAACGGTTCAATCGAGGGTTCAACATAGAATGGATATCAAGATTATTTTTTTTTTTTGGGTTCTGAGTAGATTTGATTCTTCTAGAGAGCTCCTTCGGAGAGTAAATCGTAAATGATGATGTGAGTGAATAAATCAAAATTTGGGCATCAATTTCGAGATCAATTTCGAGATCAATTTCATTCATCAGCATTATTATTATTATTATTAAATCTAGTCAGACCTCAAAAAGTATCTTTTTTTTTTTCAATAAACGGCGCCAAATTCACATGACCCAATTCAGTCAACAGCTCACACTCCACAATAGTAATATTCTTTTTACCAACTTTGACTGAGATTAACCAAGATTCTCAGTGCAGCTCAATAGCTCAGTTGTATTACATGTTTCATTTATCTTGGTCTGATGTGAGTTGTCTTAAGAACTTATTGAGACTATTTCTTTCCCCTCACCCCAACTGAGCTTGCTATTCATCTGGTGTTATAGTGAGAAAAAGGTGAGACTGGATTAATTCTAGTAATTCTGTGGTTCTGTGCTGAAAATTGTGAGGTTATATTTTCATTTTGACATGCTTTCAGCTTTGAAGTTTCAGTCCACAGGTTAAATCCTTCGAATACTCACTACAATAATATTTCTATGCTCCTCATTAATTTCCTCAGCCATTTTACATTTTGGTTGAATTATGTTGGGTTATGTTTTTTTCCCTTGCCCTTCCTGACAGATAAAAACGTGTTCTTTTTATTCAATCGACAACTCAGATCCGTCTCACCTCCTTCTAACTCAATTGATCTCAGTAGTGAGAATGTAACAAGGTAAAAAGAATATTGCTAATATTGAAAAAATGTCATGGAAACTGCATAGCTATGTTTCATCCACGATTTTATCGATGCGTGCATGTGCGTGCTCGGTGCTACCAAATAAATTACGTCATTGCAATTGTTACTTGCTGGGGTGAACGCAATGTTGCCAGATCTATTGCTGTTAGAAGTCCGATTTTGATGCAGTAGTGGAGGATGGCAAAATAGTAAGAATTTTCGAATCCTCTCTCATTGGACGATTTCACGATTTTATGTAGTCCGAGGGCCCGAGGTGTAGCCCATGCGAGCATCTACGTTTGTATTCTTATTTTTCCTTGCATTTTAGTATCATCAAGTAGGTATATATTGAAGACTGGAGCCTTTGACACGATAAACACACTACACTGTTTTACCAGAGGTCCATTTTTCTAGTTTTCCCCACGTTGGGCGCCAGATGAAGAGGAATTGGTTCTCAGCGAGGTTCTCAGCAAACTCAGATATGGATTTTAATTCACAACAGTCTGACAGGTTTGACAAGCAACAGAACTAAAATTAAATGAAGTGCTAATATCATGAACATATTTGCATATTTAGATCTACTCGTGTTATTAATGATTTTATACTCGATTTTATATAATAATAGTGCATACCATCCGAGATACCATCCTTTGCATACCTAAAACCAGGCGACTGTTGGTACCAAATATAATTTTGTCTCTCAGTTGAAACCCAAATTTGATAGTTTCTTAGCAACATGAAAGGAAACTATGCCGCATGTATATCAAATTCAATAGATGATACTGAATGGTTTTTTTGTCACAATATGAAGTTAACAACATTGGAGAAATTGTCATAAAATCAGTTTTATGCGCATGTATTCTGAATATAACCTCAAAAAAAAACACAGCTATCAGTCGGGTTTGGTCGAGGGTTTGGTCGAGGGTTTGGTGGAAACCTCGGTGTAAACCCAGACGACACAGAATATTCTATGAATATTCTGACAACGTTCAAATATACTTATTTTAGAATATTCTAATAGAATAGAACATTTTCATCCTGCAAAGAATATTCCAAAATGTTCTATATAATATGATCATTCAATTTGACATTCATGAAGAATATTCTGACTTGACACTAGGTCACGTGACCACAACCATTTTCATGCCAAATAGTAGTAAAAGCGGTACCTTTTTGCTTGAATTTTACCCGACCTCGCTAGCTTGTTCCGTTCAAAGGTTAAAGGGGGGGGAGGACTTTTTACGTCCTCACTGTATTTATTCATGTACCGGGTGAACAACTAAGAACGACTGTCGGCCATATCTCAGCAACGAATAATGATACAAGATAGAATAAATCGAGGAATAAATCTAATAGTATGCATCTCATTACTACGAAAGCGCTGAACGGACATGATACACTTTTTTTTTATAATTGCCAGTTTGAACTGGCATTTAGCCATAATTGCCAGTTTGAACTGGCAATTAGCCATAATTGCCAGATTGATCTGGCAATTAGCCATAATTGCCAGTTTGATCTGGCAATTAGCCATAATTGCCAGTTTGAACTGGCATTCAGATATAATTGCCAGTTTGAATTGGCAATTAGCCATAATTGCCAGTATGAACTGGCATTCAGCTATAGTTGCCAGTTTGAACTGCCAATTAGCCATAATTGCCAGTTTGATCTGGCAATTAGCCATAATTACCAGTTTGATCTGGCAATTAGCCATTATTGCCAGTTTGAACTGGCATTTAGCTATAATTGCCAGTTTGAACTGGCATTTAGCTATAATTGCCAGTTTGAACTGGCAATCAGCCATAATTGCCAGTTTGAACTGGCATTTAGCGCTTCCGTACGAAAGGATCTATAGTCATGTTATCGCCATCTAGTGACGCCAAAAAAGTAATGCGAAGGCGAACGATTATTTCGACCAACGCAAAGGGCCAGTGGACTGATAATGAATTATTGGCATTCAATTACTCCACTGTGTCGTTAGAGACCTATAGTATATTGTTCAACAAGAACGGAATGTTAGTGATTTTCCCCGAGAATGAAATTTGCAGCATGAGCCGTAGGCAAATAATGCCTCAAACTGGCAATTATAGCTAATTGCCAGTTCAAACTGGCATTTATGGCTAATTGCCAGATCAAACTGGCAATTATGGCTAATTGCCAGATCAATCTGGCAATTATAGCTAAATGCCAGTTCAAACTGGCAATTATAAAAAAAAATTATCATGTCCGTTCAGCGCTTTCGTACATTACACCATGTAATAGAGAAACTAAATCTCAACAGACCAACGAAAACCGCACCATGATAGCTTTTCGCCAACGGAAGATACCTATTAACTATCAAAGTTGGAAGAATGATAGATATGACAGCAGTTCTTAGTTGCTCGCCCTGTACATAAATACCTAGGCAGTGGAGTAATGCGTTGTGAGTTATCCAATCATTTATTTCATCATCAACGGAATCTCGCTCTTTGAGTTGAAATTTCGCTCGTTTTTGACAGTATAGCTCGCTCGAAAAAAATATGCCTGTGGCAACACTGTATTGACTGTCGTAAAAACCCCACCATCACCATAACCGTAACAACGAACGGAACGGACACATGCGGATCTATCGAGGGGACAGGGGCGGTGTGTGACGAAAAATAACCCATCATCTGCTACAACCCAACCCAACAAGTTTTCGATAGTGTCGCATTTCGCGTATTCCGAGTGTTCGGAACTTCAGTTACTTCAGTAGCATAGTTTTGTAATTGATCGACAATAATCGACGATCGCATTGACGCATACATTTTTTGTCGTTCGCACAGTCAGTTGTCAGTTGTTTTGCGAGGATTTTCGTTATCAGAAGACACCGGTCGTTGTTTTCACATCTCGTTCCGTGGTCATTTCCTTTTTAAACAGGATATTATTAGAGATAATACATTTCCGAGGTGTTTCAGTTCCAATAAGTCAAGTGTCTAGTGCGAGTGTTAAGTTTTTAATCTACTGCCGCTATTGATTTTTTCATGTGATATCAGTGTATCAGTGATATAATCTATCACTATAAAAATATTATTATGCTGGAACTGTGATATGTTGTGAATTTAGGTAGATTTTATTACTGATATAATCTATTCAATTTCGATTTGAATAGAGACACGCCTATTTATTCTCACAAAATTTTTCTTTTTGTTCATTCTGCCTGTGGCTTGATATTGTATTGATGTGGTATCTTTTGGTGGTATTAGGGAACTAAATCTCGATACTATAATAGTAGTACCGGTGCTCAGTGATTATAAGAGAGGGTAACGCCCAGATATATAGGTGTAATCTTGGGTGTAGTACCTTGCCTTTGCATGGGTAATACCCAATAAATTCTACCAAAGTATCTTTCAGTACCTATCATATATCTATCATATAGGTATCGTTTAGGTCTAGAAGATGAATGCAAAATATAAAAAGTTGTTATTGAAGCACAAGTGTTAAACGAGGAGTTAGGTACTTATCGTGCGTTATTCATCAGAGAAACGTTCAAAAATGGTGAAGAAGCATTTTTGAGCAATTAGTCATCAATAGGGGATCAATCCAGGAGTGTTCCGCCAAAGAATATTAACGCTATCCAAAGATAG